TCTCTTCGATCGAAAATTCTGATGCAGCTTGGAAGAAAATAATTTTTTAGTTGATTAAAAAGTATAAATTGTAAAATATATTCTTCGTTAAGCGCTGATAGCTTTTAAACTTTTGGAAATTTTGGGCGTTGCGAGTGATCCGATTCTGTCTATTTTTTATTTTTCATTCAACTAGACTTTTACGAAGCTCGTTCAATAATCGAAAAATGATCGTAATGATTCGCGTATCTGTTCGCATAAATTTATTTTCGAAGGGGGATTTTCGAAGATTATAAAAAAAGGATAAATGGTGCACACAGATTATTCGATGTATAATAGAAATCGTTTATACCAACATATATCGTTTATTAAATTTTTCCCAGATATTCTTCACCGCGAAATTTCGAATCATTTCGTGACTTGTATATCTTGCGTTTGCGAGACGATAAAAAATAAAATTTTCTTGTTACCATTTCAAATTAATCTTAATCTGACGGACACGGGGTCCGTTGCCTAATTGAAACTTGAAATTATTTATTTTCCATTCCCATCGTTTCTCCACGTGTTGATCAGCCTGCCTCGAGTCGTTGAAAAAACACATGTTGGATCGCTGAATTTTTATCAATTAATTTTTTGACGAGAGATTGAAATTGAAATTTTAAATTCAATTTGTATCGTCGATATCGAAGTTGGAGAACAGCGGTCAGTGGGCGAGAAGGCGTGAGGATAGATCGCGTTAGGTATATACGAAAACGGGCCGCTTACACGAAACTGACCGCTCTCTGAAAATCAGATCCAGCGTTGGCGTCCTTGCCGAAATCAGCGGACGCTACTTTCTTCTTAACGTTGCCACCGAAGATATCCTTTAATATCGTTGGTGGTAAAGTACGATTGAAATGTTTATTGGTCAGATTTCGTCTCGATATCAAGTGTATCGAACATTTTAGATACGTGGGTAGCGACAAAGATGACAGCATGCGCGACAAAACCATTGCTCACTTTCACCCGATGATTTTGTTTGATTCCCGTGATTTTTTTGTCATGGAAAATGTCACATCGCATACGGTTAATTGACGTTTCACGAAAAAGAATCGATAGCAATCATGACACGTCTATTAAACCACCATTGTGCCGATTTGCCAATTGTTAAACAATCCATGGTTACAGAATTGCTCCAACCGAATGTACATACATCATTACGATTGATCTTGGGGTGGAAGAAGAAGAAGAAGAAGAAGAAGGAAAAAAAAAAAAAATTAGATAAAAAGATACAAAAATATATATCATTTTTGCTAAATTAAGATTCGAAAATATAAATTTATCACCGACATTGAAATGGTATATCAATTTATTGAAACACTGAATATATAAATACAGAAGACGATTTGTGGTGTATCTGCGATAAACGAGAAACGTTAGAAAACAATGTATTTTAAATAGATTTTATACGAAAATTTTTGCGAGGTAGGTAACGAAATTCGCTCGATATTCTCGACGAATTGCGACGAACCTTGAATCTTACGAATTTAATATTTTTCTTACAAATTTTTCTTCTATATCGTATCATGATTGATAATCGTTCACGTTTACATACTTGCGTTTCGATTTATATCGATAAAATAATCTTATCTAACGTCAAATCACATATACTATATAATACACATAATATAACTGTTACATCATATAATATGTGTGTGTGTGTATGTGTGCGTGTATAAAATATAATCAGAACATGTATAGTGTGTTAAATTAAATTAAATTAAATTAAATAGAATCGATAGAATTTTTTCAAATATCAATAATACGACTATAGGTAATACTTTATAGTCAAGGAACGTACACATTTTTTTTATACGTATAAAAAATCATGCTTACTGTTTGAATAACAATAACACTCAAAACGAATTTTTTTTTTTTTTTGTTCTTTGTGTGAGTGAGTGTGTGTGTATGTGTGTAGAAAATATTTAATATTATTATTATAAAATTTAAATATTTTTTTTTAAAAATACAACACAGTTTTAAATCACAATTTATAAATAAATTTTAAAAAATCTCGTCAACTTACAAATATAAGTTAAACAGGTAATGTAATGCAAATGTACAAAATAAATGTAAATGTAAAACGAGTAAATGTAATGTAGAAACAAAATGTGTTTTTAAAAAAACAATAGTTTGCACGTATAAATACGCGTAAAATTGAATCAACAAACGATGAACGGATTTAGAGAGTGAAAGTTGTTATTCACGAGACGCGAATTTACTTATAAATTCAAATCTTTTTGCACTTCGTATATCGTCTGAGCCGATTTTTGCAGAAGCTGCGTCTCCTTCTCCGTTAAGCTTTGTTGAATGATAGTGTTGACACCGTTTTCGCCCAATGTGCAGGGCAACGACAGGAACACGTCATCTTTGATTCCATGAATACCCTGGAAAAAAAACCAATTTTGTATTTCGCATTGGCCAATTAACGAGGAAACAATTTTTTCAAACATGTCTAACAAAAAATTGTGGTTACTTTGTAATATTCCGCCGTGTGTTCACGGGAATATCACGCGTTAATTTATCGCAAGAATCGAACGAGTTATCGACTTACGGTAACCAGGGTGGCCACGGCATGAACTTGTTGCGTGTTTCGCAATATGGAAGAGACGATTTGGGCAGCGCTCAGGCCAATCGCCCACGATGTGTAACCCTTTAGCTTGATAACTTCGTAAGCGGATCCAACGACTTTTTTATACAACTCGTTCCAATTTTCCTTGTCGTATTCTGTGCCAACAGTTTCGTCCAGATCGCGCAATCTCACTCCGGCTATGTTCACTTCCGACCATACCGGTACTGCGAAAAGAACGCGCAACATATAGATGCTTCACTGGTTCGCGTGGATTTACACAAAACAAATTTCATTCAAAAGTCACGATGATCGAATCCGCGATTCCCTTATCACGGATAATCGATCATCATCACAGTTGCACGCGTAAATAATTAGAAAAGAAAAATGAAGTTTGAAGAATAAACTTTTGGGGGAGGGGGGGAGAGGAGGATATGAACGTACCGCACGAGTCTCCGTGCTCCCCGATCATCCAACCGTGGCACGATGTAGGGGCGACATTCAGTTTCTCCGACAAGAGAAAGCGGAATCGGGCCGAGTCCAAATTGGTCCCACTTCCTATCACTTGATTCTGCGGAAGGCCGGAAAGTTTCCACGCAACGTAGGTAAGAATATCGACCGGGTTCGAGACGATAAGAAGGATCGTGTTCGGGCTATATTTCACCAACTCGGGAATAATCTTTTTGAAAATATCTGTATTTCTTTGAACGAGATCCAGCCTCGTCTCGCCTTCCTTTTGACGAGCACCGGCTGTCACTATGCACACCTTCGAATTCGCCGTGACAGAGTAATCCGTGCTCCCGCTGATTTTTGCGTTCTTCAAGAATGAACTGCCATGCTGTAGATCCAACATCTCTCCCTTCAGTTTGTCCTCCTGCATATCCACCAGCGCCACGTCGCTCGAAATATTCTGCGATAATGCGTGGAAAAGATTGGACGAAAAATGAGATTTTTCAATTTTGAATGTATATATATATAAGGAGAAAAATAAGAAAAAACTTACTTTTGTCAAAAGACTGATGGTACAAGCCATACCGACGTTACCTACACCGACCACGGTGACTTTTTGCGTACTCGTGGGAACCGGATCCATCACTGTATTCAACAATTTACTTCTCAATGTTGCCATTACTCTATATACAATTGAATAAGATCGTTTAATTTAAGCATTTTATTTCATTCGTCTCTAAATAATCTTTTCGCTAAATCCCGTACGTCGGAAGGAGGAAGGTCAAAAAGGTCACGGAGAACGTTTACGTTAATTTTCGCGATAATTTTCCATATTTACTTGTGAATTTTTCAAACACGAATATTCCACGAAAATCTGGATAAGTTTCCGTGTACTTTTCGAATTTTATTAATTATTCGACAGAAAGAAAATAAAAGGATAACGACAATATATATATATATATATACATAGATTGATCATAGAGTGATAGAAAGATAGAAAGAAAACATCGTTACTATCTACTGTATATCAAACAAACCAGAAATGAAATTTTTTTGCAACTTTTTTTTCGCTTTAACGAAAAATTAAAAAAGCAAAAAAATTTCGTTAGTTTGTAAAGTTACTTGATTGTATCGCACTCGTATACGAATGAAACGTTAATAATACAATGTGAGTAATACGCAAGCTCGTAAGATGCCACTAGCAGTACGTTAACCGGTGTTCGATAGATGCGCGCTACGAGAGTGCGGATTACGTACAAAGCAACAACTATTCGAATAAATCAAATTCAAATTCAAACTGCGAAAAAAACAACACAGAGAGAAGAAAAGATTGGAATAGCCATCACCGAAAAAAACATTAGCAAGATGAGGTTACAAAATATATTAAATGAAACACAATTAAATCGAATAATTCTCGTAATTGTCTTGACCCAATTACTTCTATGGGTACTTCCACATGGTTTAACAGGTTCATCCTTATATGTCGCGTTTATACACACTTGTGGTTTCGAACCGATCGATGAAGAACAATTCTGTCGAATTCTGGAATCGCGACGCGATTGTAAACGAAAAAAAAAAAAAAAAAAAAGAAAAAGAAAGAAAAAAAAAGGTAATGTACACTAACCTCATGATTGCTTTAAGAAAAATACAAGTACAAAGCAAAGAAAGAGAATGAAGCAAGCACCAAATTTATTTGGACGGTTTACCAGCCGTTCTTTCTTCCGCTCCGTACGACAGCTCCCAGCTTTCTGTTTGCTAAGGTGACCTTGTCCCCGCTTTTTATACCTCTCATAGCATTCAACCATATTGGGGTCTGGCAAAATCGAGGATTTGGCCAAGTATTGTCGGAACGATAAAATGTGCGTTCGGTTTTCCGACAAATTTTCACCATGACCCCATAACACGTGCCGATAGTACTTGTACACATGCCGCATGGATGTTATTTCGAATCCATAATCGGTAATGCATAACCTGGGTGGCGATGCACGCCGAAGCACGTACGTCGCGGTATACATTTTCGAAACTGCGATGTTGCGCACGCGTAAAATGACGCAACGTGCGTTCCCTTCCGTGAAATAAAGAACGTTTATCGATCTGTGCTGTACTTTCTTTTCGATCCCCACTGTGCCTGTCAACAAAAATCAGCCCGCAGGATGAGTTTCGGTGGGACTAAAAATACATTCTACGATTGGGGTTCGTGGAATGCTAGTTAAACGCTGGATACAACCATGTTTTATTTCGACCGAGTTAAATTTATCCTATCCTACTCGATCGAGTTTTATAATAATTTTTTAAAAGGGAAATTAATTTCGAACAGATTTTTTTTCTCCGAATTTCTTAATCGATTTATTAAATTTTTAATAAAAGAAGGAATTTTTAAAACTATTCCAAATCGTTATTAATCGTCAATTTTTTTTTAATTTTTTTCCCCTTTTTTTATTTAAATTTTGAGAAAACTCGTTTGAGTATTGTGATTTTTGTTAAAATTTGTACAAAATTTGTAAAAATGATTCTTATATAGGAAGATCTGTATCTTATATTCTTATATATATATGGGGATCGTGATATCTAACGGATTAATTAATATAATTTAATTTCGTGTCATTTGCATGCGTGATTCATGCAACAAGAATTTTTAATTTTTTTTTTTTCATTGTCCGTTAATAGATAATGCAAAGAGTGATATCATTTTGGAACGATTATGATATAGTCTTAATTGGTGTGGAATTTACATACCAGTTGAATTAAATGACCATTACTGAATCGTATCGGATAACCTCTCTACAGCAAAATATCTTCCGAAAGAAAGGAGAAAAATTATCGATCGATATATTTTTCACCAATTCATCTGCGAAATTAGATCCAATTCAAAGGAGTGACTTTTAAATTTTTACAGATGTGTGAACGGTTATGTGATTCGATAGATTTATATTTCGATGACGCGATGTACACGTTTGTGTGCTACGAAGAAAAAAGATATCAAATTATCGTTGCAAATCTGCAACGACATTGCGTGCATTTAGCCTTTGTTTCATACTTTCATTTTTTTTCCCCCCCAATACGTTTATATTCGATATATTGGATACAGAATAAAAAAAAAAAATGAAAAATTACATTTCTTTCTTCAAGAAACAATAGAAAGTTTATATATACATGTATATGTATAAATATATAACTTATTAACATAGTTATCGATGATGAACGAACATTGTAGAATTGAAGAAAATATACATCGTGATTGGCTGATAAAAAAAAATTCAATTGTATTATCCAAATTTTGTCCAATATTATCTGACGCAATCGAATAATCTCGTCGATAACATTTCGTAACGCACGCTTCCCGGTAACGAATGATATATCGTCTGAATCATAATTCAGGAATACCGCGACAAAGAATGCATTCGAGAATGACGCAACGAAACTATGCTTCTACGTGATCACAGACATCTTTTCATCGTCCCGCTCTTTTGCTCTTGCGATCATTCTCCTTCTTCTTCTCGCGTAAACCTAATATACGTGCGTTAATCGGCGAAAAAACGCGAGATACGAGTTATTGTTTGAATTAGATGCAATTTTTAAATATATATCTTTTTGAAAGGATATATTTATTGTTCTTCCACTCTGTTGACCGTACACACGTGCACGTATATATACTTTTATGTTAAGAAGAATCGTAATTTATTTTTACAATGTTCGTTAAAGCTTAGTAAGAGGAAGTTTACTATATCCCTAAGAAAAAGTGTAAAACGTGTAATATATATCGTTTTCTAGTTTTGTGTTTATATTAAACCGATTTTTATCTTAAACCTTCGATTTCTTCCACGTTTTATCGTAATCTAATAGGAAATAGACGGGATGAAAGGTTATTAAACACAAAGGTACTGCGTTTTTGCAATTGCTTTTTATACGCTTGGCATGGAAGGGGAGGGAAAAAAAGTGCTCGTGGATGAAATTGACGCTCTCTGAATAACGGAGCCGCCATCCCGTAATTACAACCATTTATATCGCCATAGCTGGCGCGTTTCATTCCCTGTATACGGGCGAATAAACCGAAGAGAAATTTAATAGAAAAGCCGAGCTTTTGAATTTGCTTCACGCGCTTGGTATTTTTATTCTTTTTACGGTGTGAAAGTTAAATTGGCAATGCATAACTGTTATGTCATCGAACGTATAGTATAGTTGCATAATCCTTCGTATCAAGCGATGGCCCATACAATGATCGAGTAGGAGTAGTCAGAGATTAGATATGATAATTGTTAAAAATAGGTGCCAAAAATTGGATAAAGTGATTAATGGAATAATGGATTATATAGCGTTGCATTAAATCTTGAAAATGGGTTATAACTAAGTTAAGATTGTTTGAAAGTAATTAGAAATTATATTTTGTTTAATCGTCCACTGTATTTACAAAAGAAAAAGCGATAGCGGGGGAATTATGATCGATGTTTACAACTCGACATATTTTCAAAGAGGTAATTCGAGATTTATGAAATACAATTAAAATTTATTTATTGCAAAAATTTATTCGATGCTTCTATATTCTTGGAAAGATGCGATCGAAAACACAGTTCTTTAAAGTTCTCACCCTTCTATCTTTTTCATCCCCTCATCTTCTGACTTGAACAGGTTTACGATTAGTATCATCAAACGGGTTCAATTCCGTTAGAATTCTGATCTACAAATACGCTTTTTCCTTCAATTTGCTTTTCACCGATTGCGTTGAATCGATCGATCGACATCATCTGTTCCACCATTCGACTCCATCTCGATTATTATGCCAATAATTCCTGGAAAAATTTCTCAACTATGATGAAAATGTTGATGCTTGGAGTCGTGCCGCGTGGGGTAGGGAGGCGTAAATTTGTTGAATTTTTCCATTTTTCCATTTGTTCAAAACTTATTTATATATTTCTAGCAGAACTGCGAAGCTATTTAAAATTCATTTATTTAATTACTTAGGAATTTATTACGAGTGTAATACGATGATAATCGGGTACGAAACTAATTTAGTGGGAATTTTTTATTGATTTTTAAAATAATAAAGGTTAGTCAATTTGTGAACAATAGATCGTTTGATTATTATACGTTTAACTTTGCCATAAAATACGCAGTTAAACATCAACTTTCTTAATGATATATTAAAATTGCATCATCGTGCGTCTATCATTCACTGCGACAAAGCCGATGTAACGTTTTTAAATACCAACAATTGGTATAATAAATAAAAATAATTCCTTTAAACAGGTTATATATGAAAATATAATCGACCAAGTTGGAAAAGAATTAGGATATTCTCGAGAATAATATTTTCACACAACTTACCGCATAAGTATAACTTTAACTCGGTTTACTTAGGCAGAAACGAAATCTCCATATCAAGATTCTTGAAAAATTATCACACAGATCATCTATGTGAACGTATATAATCTAGACGATTATATTACCTTCGTCTAATTGTCTTTTCCCCTACGGCTATCGATCGTACAGGCTCAACAACTAATCCGCAATCAAAAGAGCGGTGGTCGTAAGACTACGTTTTTATCTCTTTCAAATTCAAATTATTACATCTAAATATCTTTAAATATATAGTTTATCTTCTTTCCGCGATTCGATAATCTCACGTTTCATCTCATTTTGTAAAATTTTATTTCGAATAATTCTACGATTATCTCCTTAGAAAAATAGCGAAACAAAATTCCTTCCAATCGACTGTAATAACGTTACATTTTATCGCGATTATTTTACAACGTGATGACACGGCTAATTAATGGAGAGTCCGTCTAACGATTTCCATTACATTTCGTTAAATCGCGATAAATCAATCGTTCAATTAACTCAGATTCGAAGGAATAATACGAATATTTTTTTTTTTTTTCGAACCGCTATGTCGCGCCATAAATCGAAAAATCGAACTTTGTAAATCTTGCCGGATTCGCCGATTGCTAATTACGTCTCGAGATCCATCGAACCGCCGAGATCTCGATTAATTGCGTGCCGCGTCGAACAAATTGTAAAAGTTTTCTTTTTCGAACGTACTTGCAAATGTTTGCCCGCCGCAACCGTTCATTTCGCCGCAACGAGCGAACAAGGGGAAGAAGGGGAGGGAAAAAAAAGAAGCAGCCGTTTCAATTTTAAAAGGGCAAATACAAATTGCCCCTGCGTATAATCTCTCGCGGAACAACTTGGGCGGAGGTCGTACAATGTTACGTTTTTTGTCCAAGATCCGGATTTGCCTCTGAGAATATTTTCTTGGCCGCGCAACACGTGTTGGTAACCGAAGCGAACTTTTATTCGGATTATTACTTCTAATCGGCCGAGTTTATCCGAGCTTGTGAAAGATTTTTAACAAAGTTACGAAATTAATTGAAATGGTATTCCTTGAAATATTTTCTTTTTCTTTGCGAAACAGCCGTTTTAATTTTTAATCTAATTTCGTCGTACACAAACATGGCCAATGAATCTTCTTTGGAAAACTTTGGAACGACTTGTTTCGATAATGAAATCGCTCGAATAATTTTAATTATTAAAACGTATCGATTAACGCATTATATCGAGGGATGGACGATTCGATAACAGAATCGCTCGAAGGTTTTTTTTAAGTAATTCGTTACATTTTTGATAGATGAAAAGTAGTTTTCAATTTCATAACCGAATCGCCGTAGGATCGAATAATTTTAACATTTTGCAACTCGATTTAATATCGACGAGAGTAAAATAAACGCGATTACGTATAATCACCATCGTGCTGC